CTACATATAGTCACAAAAGATAAGAGCTTCAAACCTTGAATATTCATACAAAATACCACAAATACTAGAGTAATGGAAATACTAAAAGTTAAATGAAACACCATATATATAGTTTGTCTTAAAATATACTAAAGGCTAAGAAGATTAGTTGAAAGTAGGCAACTCACTACCAAACTTAGCTTGTAAAAGCTTATGAAGAGTTGCCAACTGATCCTCATTTTGCACAAGTCGATTCTTAGTTTCCTCGAGCGTTTATTTGGTCGCCTCAAGCTGTTTTTTTGTCTCTTTATATACCTTTTCTTTCAAGGTTTCTACATGTTTCTCTAGGTCTCTAACACGTTGATGAGACATACTACTAGAGCTACCAAGATTCACATGACTAATTGAATGCGAGGCATTCCAAAAGCATTTGAAGGGCAAACATTACCACCTAAACCATGCACACGATCAGAATGCTCAACTCCATACACTTTTCCAACGGCATCATTAGAATGAGCTAGTATCTTCATAGGAACACCTGAACTGGCAGCAAGTTCCTGATCTTTAGGTAGTTGCTCCGATATCTTATCCTACAAGAAAAGATATTTTCACAATACTAAAAGCAAATAGAACACACCCCAAAGCACTACTACTAACAAAAGTTAACATAATTTGTACAAAAAAAATATTAACAAAAGTATTACTACAAGACATCAACTATTTTGACTAAAACTTAAACAAAAACCACTTTCTAATGTGTAATGAGAGAACCCAATACAAATTATCACAATTTCAAAGTTATTTGACGAGGAAAGATGAAGAGCATCCTAGGCAGACACATTTGTAGCACAAAGGCAGCTGCTACATTAGTTATTTTTTATTTTTATTCTTTGGTAGCTAGTTGAGTCTTATGCTAGGCTATAGACCAAAGAAAAAAGACAAGAATAAATCAACACCATAACTGAAATTTGAAAATGGACAGGTATATAAATCTTACAGCTAAAATCTCATTCACATAATTACCATCCTTCTTCAGTAAAATTGACAAAATAACCTCACTCCGACACACAAGTCTTTTCAATTTTTACTCCTGTCATTAATCAAGTATATATAAATAAAAAATAAACATGAAACACATTTCACTTGATACAATAAAATGATTTCCAAATAGAATTCAAGGTTAAGAAACATACCATTTGACGACCTCTCCTTGCATTGCTTTTGCTACCACCGGCATGCGAGACTTTAAGTTTCTTTCTATTTTTTACATTTTGTGCACTTTATTTCTGTAATTATCAAACATAAATTTAATTACATGTAATAGAAGGGCACAATTTCACAAGATGTAGGACACAAGTTCTTAAAGCTATATAAATCGCTTTATCACAGCCAACACCAACAATATTACTTAATGAAAGCAAACAAAAATCAATCTTAAATTTTCAGACTCACAATGGTCTTTATAACATGTTCATTTAGATTGCTCAACAATCATACAACTATATCCTATTTCATAATTGTTGGCATCTTAAAAGGAGTATCTACTTCCACACAAAGGATGCAATATAAAATTTAAAAGGAAGATATCGGAGCGAGAAAAGAGTTTAAGCTCTAATGATGTTGAAGGGAGAGAGCAAAAACAGACATTGCAAAGCCGAAACAAGAACTTACCAACATATTTGAAGCATTCATTGACATCACATAAGTTTCTTATAAGTAACTAGTAATTTTCAGCCCTTTTTGTCTCTACAAATTTAGCATATAAGTTATAACTTCTAATTCTTATTGTATTTATAGTTGAAGGCATATTTAAATGTACAAAATGAGTTATATTGTGTATGTACAGAACTTAGGAGTTAGAAAGTTTCATATTTCTTCCTTTCCATACTTTTCTGAAGTAAAGTTGTTATGTAGCAAGAGTCCAATGGAGTAGCAGGGTGAATTACGATGGGTTGAAAACTAATGCAATGGAAATGTTTCATGGGATGCTATTTACAGAATGACACTTACAAGGATAATTTAACACTTGTGGCAGATGTTTAACTGAGGATATTCCAAAGCCAAGAAGAATAGATGAAGTCCTGATCAAAATGATCCTTCAAAAAGTTTATTTGAGAGCCAATTTGAGACCTTAGTCGGCTAGAAAACTAAGAGAACTGAATGTATACCCAACGTAAACTGTGTTGAAATTGTTTTTTTTTCTAAGAGTCTACATATGCAAGCCTAGAGATTTCGAATGAATATCGAACCTAGTTCTTCTGTTTTTTATTTTTACCTTGAGTTGTAAATTCCATTTTGGTTATTAATAAAAATTATTTACCCAAAAAATAAGAGAAAGAAAGAATCAAATTATGAACAACAATTACCTTCATCTTATCCTTATTACAGTGATGCACAAAGGCAATCCAATCAATAGAATCCACATTTTCGGGAGGCTTAGCAAGTAGCTATTCTTTACTTTTGTTGGGGTAGAAGTTATTACATCGTAACTTATATTTAAGGGCCCTCCGCCTCTCGCGTAAAGATTGCATCACCCATTTAAATCCAATCTCATAATCAAACTCAAAATTCTCCTTCATATATGTTTGTATTCATAAATCAGTACCTATTGAAAAAGATAACATTATTTGAATGGCAATAAAGTTAGCTAGTTACCTCAATAAGTTGCCATTGTCGTTTTGTTTTTTCATGTGGCATCCTATCCCATCACTCAACTAATATGGGACAAAATACAAACATTTGAGAAAGTTTGCCAAGAAATCTCACAAGCAAATTTGAACCATTGTCACTTCCTTTTCCATCACCATTTAGTTCCACCATGATTTTTTAATTTTTTTCAAAGTTTCAAACTCGATTTGATTGCATCTTTTGAGTAGTAACTTCTCCGGTTGAAGTATCTATCATTTTAACAAGCCATTAACAGAAATGAAAAGTAATGATAACAACAAACTAATAATAAAGAATACAAAGCAACAATCAACTCTAATATGAAATTACTTCTAACCTCTAATGTGGACAAGTAACGACTCATTTTTCACTTGTGAGCTGGCTCCAACAAAACTTGAAGAAGAAATTAAATTTCCATTACCGAGAGTAGGAGTTGTGATATTCTCATTCACAATTTGGTCATCTAGTTGATCAAAATTTAGGGAAATTGTGCTATTGTTGTCAGCTTGTCGTCCTCGTAGGCTTTCTAACAATGATTATGCTCTTACAACTAGAAAACCCAATAAAACTTAAAACAAGTAGTAACGTATTTGATCCCAGATAGGCACTGCTCTTTAATTTTTCAAATGTTGAACTTAAATTCATGTTCCTTATACAGAAACAAACGATAACTAGAACATGGTTAGAAATGCACAGAACAAAACAAAAGGAGATCTAATCTTGCAAAATTTCACACCTCTCAAGATTTATATATAAGTTTATAGGTTATCGATTTATGGTAATAATTCCTCCAATGTATAATCTTATCTACAAAATTCGTGGGGAAAATATATCCATCAATCTTTCCAGAGGTGTGAGCATGATTTTTCCAACATAAATAAAGTAGGATGTATAACCTACCACTAAAATTTCTATTCTTTACAACATGAAAACCCAATAAAAACACATCAAATTGCAGATTTCAAAAGCTCATAACTTCAATAAACAAAAACTTTATCCAAAACCCTACATTCAATTTGAGTTTAAATACACTAGATTCCAAAGATTTGTTACTTGAACGAAGAAAACTTACCACATTACACAACTATTTGAAGCGGCTTTTGACAGAAATCGATTTTGAAGAAGAGAGTCGAATTTTGGGCAGAAATCGATTTAGATTTTGGGGGTTGGTTTTGGGTGAAGTGAGAGAAAAGAGAGTGAGTAGAGGGAAATAATAGAAAAGGAGGCAAATGAAAAAATAAAGGGAGGGAATGAAATTTTACCCGGCTATTTTAGCCACAGATGTTTAGCCACAGTTCGTACTATGTAGAGAATTTTTTTATTTTTTAGCTAATTTTGCCACAGTTTTTGCGACCGTGGCTAATAAACCGTGGCTAAAAGGCGATTTTTTGGTAGTGATAAGGGTAAAAATGGAAAAGTAAGTTCAATTTATGTCTTAATCTACTTTTCTTAAAAGGTGTGAAACACCTCAAAAATTAACTTAATATGGAATGGAGGGAGTATTAAATAGTTTGCACAATAAAGTCTCACTCTATCCAATTTTAATTGTCATGTTGCGCTTTCAAAATTCAATTAGATTAATTTTCAAAATTAAATTAGATTACATTTAATTTGATATTTAAAACAAAAAATTTAGATATTAAAAAATTATACAAAAAGTTTTTATAATTTAATTCAAAAAAAAAACTATGACAATTAAAAGTAGACGGAGGACGGAGGTAGTAATAAAATTAAGGGGATCTTCGAAAATGTATGTAAATGCGGAAAAGCTGGCAAGATATGTCTTCTCCAATCCAAACACTTCTCTATACCCACAGGGGCTTTCTCTGCTCCTCAAAGCGGTGCCTCCTCTCGTCATCTTTTACTACGTGGACAAAATATCATGCCAATTCTTCCTCTTTCAGTTAGCATAAAGAACCGGGTTTTCTTCGTTCGGTCATTGTAGGCCCACCTCCTAACACTTGTCAAGAGATTTTCTACCCGTTAAATTTTAATAATAGGAAATTGCTCGAATAATAAATACTTTTTACTTTCAATTTTAAGATGGTAAATTTAAAAAAGCTACACACGAAAAATTCCATCATCTCACGCTTAAATGAGAAATTCGAAAGGTACGTACACAGTTTACATCACTGTAATGACGTGTCATTTTACATCACTGAAGTTGTCTAAAAAGCCCTCTCCGTTCTTAGTTGTTTATTTTCATTTGGCATGGGTGTTATATGGTATTACCGGTAATAATATGTACAGATGGATGCAACCAAACATTTTTTTACGTTTCTACTAGTACATCTTGTTGACAGATGTTCTACTATTTGGAGTTGTAATCTTTCACATGCCTCCTATAAAACAAAATGCCAGTATTTCACCTTTACTACAGTTTTATAACTAAAGATGGAGAAGAGAGGCAATGTCGATCAGAACGAGGAAGGAAGGATGCATCGCCAATACAGAATTCAATTGAGAAGGAGAGAGCAAGCCCGGGAAGCACAGACGAGGGTAGGAGTACTGCCGCCGCCAGCGGTTGGATCAAAGTCTGTAAAAGGAATGAGGCCTTCAATGGAAGATGAGGTTTCAATTCACCCAAATCTTTGCTCCCCGCCCATCAATGGCGGTCGACCCCTTCATTTTTATGCTGTTTATGATGGACATGGTGGTCCTCAGGTAAACTTGCTACAGTATTTCTTTTTTGTTTTCACCATGTGATATATTTATTTTTTATCTCCTTTTTAAAAATAAAAAAAATTGATGAAGATTATTTAACTTTAAAAATCATTTTACTTTTAATGAGGATTACAATTCTTACTTTAGATGAATTATATGTTTTAAGCTGCGTGTTTTGTTTTAATTTTCATTTTTAAAAGAGTAGTTATTTCTTTCCCTTTTTTTTTTTCTGTAACTCTTCCATCAATTTTAATCTTGTATAAGAGTAGTTTGAATTGACTTAACAAAAATAGTTTTTAAGCAAAAAAATAAAAAATCAAATTTAAAAGATTTTTGAGTCAAAAAATAACCCTTATTTTTTATTTTTAACTTTTTTTTTAAAGTCACTCAATACTTATTTTAAGTTAATTTTACCTTGTAAAACACTTCCAAAAGCTGAAAATTACTTAAATATGAGTAATTTTTTAAGTCAATTCAAACAGTTTTTAAGACAACAAAATTAAAAGGTATATGGATAATTTTAGCAAATCTTTCTTAAGATTACAAGATTTTAAAAAAATATTCTTTACTCTCTTAAATATCATGTCAAGGTTAAAATCAGATAATAAACTGAAACTGAAACAAGGGGAGGTGATACCTTACATTATCCGACAAACCCTGTAAATATAAGTATTTTTTGAAAATATTAATTAAAATTTGAGTCTTGATAACCTAAAATTGACTCGGTGTATTTTAGGGATCCTTCCTTTGATAATTTTAGGGATAGTTTAGTTGGTCAGTGAGATAACAACATAGAAATAGACAAGGACATCATTATTTTTGTGGAAATAAATTGAAATCACTGTATCGTTTTGGTGGATGCAGGTATCTGCGCTCTGTAGGGAGAGAATGCACTTGATTGTAGCAGAAGAACTGAACAATACAAAAATGATGAGTAGTTCCAGTTCAGATAGAAGACAACAACGAGATTGGGAGGCAGCATGGATAAGAATTCTGCAAAGAAGTTTCCAACGGATGGATAAAATGATATGCTTTAACTGTGACTGTGCTACTTTAAGCTACCGCTGTTTGTGCCCACCAAATCACAACTTGCGCTTCATGGGTTCCACCGCAATCATAGCAATTGTAACAGATCATGCCATTGTCATTGCAAATTGTGGTGATTCCCGCGCTGTTCTTAGCCGGAATGGAAATGCCCTCTCTGTCTCCTTCGATCACAAGGTAAAAAAATCTTCTCTATAATTATTGTGATGTTTTTAAATAACAAAGAAGCTTTTCTTCACCCTGAAGTAAAGCAAGGTAAATAGGATTTAATTATCATGTTGTGCACTGATGAAATTGTTTCATCCTTAATCAAATGTGTCTTTAAGTTTGAATTCTGAGTATGAAAAAAATCTATTGGAAATGCTACGCCCAATTATTAATTTTGCAATGCACGATTCGAATTTAATCAAGCTGTAGACTTTAAACATCGAGTGAAAAATGATTTGTCCTAATTATAAGCTACTCCCTTATTTGGTTGCAGCCAAATAGGCGGGATGAACTCGCTAGAATAAAGGCTGCGGGAGGAAAACTTGTTTATTCTCGTGGATTACGGGTTCAAGGGTTTCTAGCCATGTCTCGGGCAATAGGTATTATCTCTCTCTTAATTTCAAAAACTTCTTCAATCTAACACAATTGGCATTGGAATTGTTGCTTAATTTCTTTTTTCCCTTCTACGTTTTTTTATAATTCATTCACCTAGGCAGGGCCGGCTCAACATAAACAGAGGTCTAAAACGAAATTTTAGTTAGAAGCCTAAAAATCTAAATAAGTTTTATGTGTATTTAAAATTTATTTTTCGTACACTTTTAAGATGTAAATTATTACTTAATATTTTTTTATAAATAATTTCATCTAAAAAAAATTCTTCCAATTATATTTAAGGTATGAATTGTCAACATAATTCTATAAGTAATAAATTGATAAATTATAATGAGTTAACGAGAATAAAATAATACATATTTTTAAATTATAAATGATTATTTTTTTCTATAAAAAAATTAACATATTATTTATTTTTAGTAAGAAACTGAGGCCATCAAAATTGGGAGCCTAAAGCACATGCCTTATTTTTATTGCATAGAGCCGCCCTTCACCTAGGTTATACTCACCCATAGTGATAGGGTTTGGCATGACCCTTATTAGTCTATATAAGCTCCCAATAATATACACTGAGGATTGGTAAAGTCTTACATTTTTCCGGAAACTATATTAACTCCTCTATAGGTTTGAATAAACAATTACAACACTATATATGTTATGGAGCAGTTGAGCTAAGATATGCCTTAACAAGTTCCCAACCTAAAACTTGAGGGCATATAACATGTATCATTTAGAAGAAAAGATTGCTATTTTAACTAATATTTGAGAACAATGAAGTTAAAACACAATTATGCTAGAAGTGCAAATTATCACCTTAGCTTCTTAAGGAAAAAAGTGGAATAGTTCTAAAACAAGAGCATATAGAGATCAAATGAATTTTAGGCAACACAGTCAATCATGATTGATATTTAGGGTTTTATCATAGAATTACACATGATGTGCATGTTGGAAAAGTGTTATATTTCCTTTAATTAACGACAACATACAATATCAAAGTAGAAACAAAATTAAGTATACAATTGTGCACGGCGTGCATGTCAGAAACATGTCGTGTCCAAATAAACTAATACGATATTTTAAAAAATTGAGTAAGTTGGTTGTACGTCATAAAAGATGAGTCCACAGTCAAAAGGGCAACAAAATTTTTCGAAAATTCCAAAGGGGCAATAAAATTATTTATCAAACCGAAAGGGAAACAAATTTTAATATCGTTTAAATCAGGGATTCCGCCGTAAGGCGCGGATACCCATGCGACTGTAAGCCTATGGCAGCTTTTAGCCTTACAAGCGGGACAGAGTGCGACCCCTAAGCAATTGGGGGTTCTCGCTCATCTCTTGGGGGTCCATCTCATCTGAAAACTTTTCCTCTTCCATTAGCATAACTAAATTTGAATAGGATGAATCAGCCTCAGGAAAAGTAAAAGGCACAGGGATTTGCAGGTTGTTTTAAAAATTAAAAAAAAAACACTGCAAATAATGAATATGTTCTTCTTGAAAAATAGGATAATGACAATTATGCCTATTAATCACATGAATACTTAGTGATTTAGCTTGTAAAAGATAATTCCTTGTTTGGTTTATACACATTGATAATATATAAATTCCACAAACCACTGCAAATACTAATAGGACCTATCTCAAAAATTGTTTAGGTGACTTAATCACAAATAAATCCTAAGAATCACAAAAAAAAGAAGCAAGAATCATACCCAAGTTATTTAAGTACTTAAATTAGATCAAACAATATAATTTATGAAAATTAGATTAAGAAACTAACCTGAGGTTTCCATAACTTAGGAATCTCCATAAAAAAAAAAAAAAACGGATGAAACTAAAGAATAATTTTTTTGGTTGAATATTGGTTCATCTACCTTGTAGAGTTTTAGAGGAAAATAAGGAGAAAGAAATGGTCAATTGAAATCTTGAAATTAAAATTCAACATATGTAATAAGGTACTATAATAATATAAAATAAAAATGAAGATAGTGATGATTTTTAATTAATATTTGTACAAAACACCTTGTTGACAACATTTTAATTACAAAAAAAATTCATTTTAAAACAGCCTGCAAAACTGCAGGCAGATGTCACTGCGCCTAGTAAGGCTAAACATCCATTCTGATACTCAATAGTTTTTGCCAAGCAGTTGATGGATTAGAGGCCTTTTTCTTGCAATAGAATGGACTCTAGTATAGTACTTGGATATTAAGAAGGAAGTCCATGTAGATTGATTTTGTTGGAATTATGACCCCCTTTATTCTCTAAAGGAACAGGTACTAACTACTTGTTCTTTACTGTTTGTGAGTTCTAGTAAATAATTTCATAAAATAATAATTAGTTCACAACTTTGTATTATTTATCTCAACTCCAAATAACACAAAGATCACACACCTAGGTAATCTAAGGAATTATAAACTCTAATTCCTAACTAAGAAATTATAAACTCTAATTCCTAGCTACCCAAGACAAAAACCCCTAGGTTTAAGTCTTCTGTCGTCCGTCAAGTTTCTCAAACTTGTTAGACGAATCCTACACACACTTGATTGTAATCAAAACTCTTAACTACAATTTTACAACTTTTTCCTCACAAACTCGCAACACTCCCTAAGTAAATCTCAAAAAACTCTCTCAAACTCTTGATCGTGTTTTGATCTTCTCTCTATGTAAGTGCGCAAACTTCTTCGAAGAAGTTATTTCCCTATTTATAGATTAAACCTCCTCAAAGTCTTGTTCAATTCGGACTTGACTTTGCTGCATCCTCAACTCCTTGTTCAACTCAAACTTGTCTTCAGTCTTCTTTCTTGACTTCACTTTGATCTATTTCCTTCTTGAACTCTTTATTTACCCCCCTTATTTCCTTCTTTGATCATGCTTCCTACTTCTCTTAGGATTTATACCTATGTTTACACTTTGACTTATTATGCGCTCCCTTTTCCTTGTAGGACTCCTTTATAAAAAGGAAACTTTTTGTACTGGTTGCTTGTCGAAAAAGTAATCCCTCCACTGCTTTATAACTTCTAATTCGTGTGGTTGACATTCTCCTTTTCCTAGTCAGATTCGGTCTGAAAGGAACATGTCGCGCAACCGGTTTCTTTCATCTGTTCCTCTATTTGTCAACTATCAAAATCATTCTCGATCTAACAGATTTGTTTTGAAGTTCTACCACCTTTTATTAGTACATGTATCACTAGTATCTTAAAGCCTCTTGATGTCAATTCCACCCTTGCCATTAGGTTTATATAGATTCTCCAAGATCTCAAATGATACTTAAATTTCTCAGTAAAGGATCCCAAAAAAAAAAATATGGGCAAAGTTCTTCTCAATAAGTTCAATAGTTTCCTTAGGAGTATAAACTGGAATGAGTTTAACATCATGTGAAAGAAGTTTAGTATGCCAACCACCAAAATTTTAACATTTTTTAGTAACCAAACCATCAAAATAAGTAATTCTTTTCTTTCCAATGTGTATACAGAATCCTAAATAATTAAAAGGGAATTGTTTCTCAATAAATTCAGTAGCTTGTCTCATTATGTTAATTCTATAAATGGATATTTTAGGACCTATGAAGAAGAAATTTTGGTTACTATTCACTTGTTGACCAGAGTTCATTTCATATATACTTATGAATTTGATTCATAAAAACTTTATTAGATCTTACATTGCCTCCATAGAAGATAATAATGTCATCTGCATAAGCCATATAAATTGCTTTTAGACCATTCTTGCTCATAGTGAAACATGTGAACCTCTCACTTTTGAAGAGGTTATTTAGTTTTTCTTGAAAGAACTTCATGAACTTTCAAAATAAGAAAATGTAAGGGATAAAGGATTTTCTAGATTCATTGATGAAGATGGGATACAATATCTTTCATATATCAACTTGTGGATCATATTAGGCAAAACATCATTAAAATCAAATTTCCTTAACGTACACAACAATAAAGAAAGACCAGACTAATCTGGCATAGGCCTTTGGCATATCTAGTTTGATCACAATGTTACCTCCAATATTGTCATAGTTAATTAATACCCTAATAAATAATTCTTTGAGATTGTAAGAGATTCCCAATAATGAATCTGCCCTTCACGAAGCCTATTTGATTTTTGGAAATCATATTGGATAGTAGAGATAAATATGTTAAATTAATAAATGAATTATTTACATTACAATTCATGTATATATGAAATACTTCAATGTGTATTTAATAGGGTAGGTCTTGTCTTTAATTACTTATAGATTGATTGTTTTACTTTATATATTTTTTTCAATGCAAACCATCCTCGAAATAGTAAGAAAAAAGAAGGTAACAAGAGTCTCTTGCTTCCTAAAAAGATAAAGAGGCGGAGTATAATTACGCTGCAAGTAGTGGTTTTCAAATGTGTTACTTGTCCAATTACTATAGGTCTCACTTCTTATGTGTCTGTTGTGTTTTTTGTTTACTTCTTAAAATGACTAAATGTTATAGAGATTTAACTACTAGTAAATATTTTTGTTATTTTTTCTTATTACAAATAGGAGACAGTTATTTGAAGCCCTATGTCATATCAGAGCCAGAGTTTACCTTTGTAAAAAGGAAGGTAAATGATGAGTGCTTAATTCTTGCCAGTGATGGCTTATGGGATGTCGTATCAAACGAAACGGCATGTCGGATGGCTAGAGTGTGTCTCCAAGGAGATGCAATATTTTTTTCGCATAGTGAAACAGCAGCAGCGCTGCTTACTCGGATTGCTACGGGGCGGAATAGCCATGATAACGTAAGTGTTATTGTAGTTGATTTTACGAGAAATTAAGGAGGAGAAATTCCATCATACAAGCATATATGTATATACTAAGAACAATGTGATAGTGCATCCTATGTTGTTTATGATGGTCATGTAAAACTGCTGCTTCTTTTTTTGACAATGAAAAAAGTTTTCCTTCAGCAATAAAGTGTAGAGATGGCACGCAATTGGGGCAGGCACACCCTTGATGGGGCAGGGAAAGAAAATAACTAAACGGGACAGGATAGAACAGGACAGGAAAATCATATTTACTTAAAATACATAATGGAGTAGGGCGGGTAACGGTTCAATTGTATTTCAGTTTGTTCACCGGAATACAAACGAGTAGAAAGTGCTCGTTGTATTACAGTTTTGCTTGCTGGAATACAAAGTATCTGATTTGGAAAATATTTCACCACAACTATTTTGTGAAACTGTTTGATTTGTTTTAAATTATGAAACTATTTTCTTATTATATAATTATTATTTTTTTTTGGTGAAAAAACTAATAACTTTAGCAGACTATGGTAGAAAGGCAATTGCAGTAGTACTACTGTTAAAAACTATATATAAAAAAGTTCTAAAACATCCCTTGCTTTTAAGTGAATAAATAAAGAAGGAGAAATGAAAAATAAAATAAACGAAGCGGATATTTTTTTAAAATGTTAAACGGGGCAGGATAGGCGGGTGAAAATTTTAGTAGGTTAAGGTTTGCCACGCCCTAACCCGCCCTATTGCAATTCCTACTGAAGTGAAGCAAGGTAAATACGATGTTAAATTAGGTCTTAGGCCTACCTAACTCACACCCCAAAAGCTAGCTCAAAGAGAGGAGGATTGCTCAAGGCTTATAAGGAGTTCACCAATCTCTTTAACCACCGATGTGGGACTTTTGTCATTCTTTAACATACGATTTAATCAACTTCTATCGTTCTTGACCAATTAGTTTGTTCTTGCTTGAATTCAGTCGATGAAATGAAAATTGAAATTGTGTTGTTGCAATTTTGTTGTTGTTTACTCTTTCTTTTTTCCGGTTAACATCTGATGGTTGTTTGACCATGAGTATTTTTCTACTTCTTTTTAGAGTTGAATTCTTGAAATCATGTTTGGCGATAAAATTTAAAATTCAACTTCTTAAATTTCGAATTTAGAAAATATCAAAAAATTATTTTCACCTTTTTTCAATTTAAAAACAAATATTACTCAAATTTTCAAATACCATTCACTTTCAAAATAAAAACTAAAGAGTATTTATTTTTTTTCAAATTTCGTAACTTTCGTGGTCAAATGGGCTTCACGGTCATGAAAAATTGTCATTTTTTCTATGTTTGGCCATAAAATTTCAGAATACTTTCAAAATTTGAAAACAACAAGAGGTATCTTCACTCCAAATTACACACAAAAAATTAAAAATAACTTCAATTTATATTCATGGCCGAATACAATGCACAATTTTCAAATAGTATTTTTCACTTTAAGAATAAAATTACTTTTTTCAAATTTCAGAGTGAAACATAACAAACAGCCACTAAGAACTGTTTACTGAGAGCAATAGTTTTAAAATGATTTAGCCTGTAGAAGAGATGCTATATGTTGTTAGATTTCTCTCATGTTTGAAGTTCGAAATGTTAATTATATGGCATCTTCAAATTAATGTATAGTCACCGTAGTGATATGAATTTGGCATGGCCCTTATCAGTCTATATAAGCTCCCAAAAATATACATGGAGGATTGATAAAATCTTACTTTTTTTGGGAACAATTTTCTCATGTTTAGTTGGGTAAAATGTTTTTCAAATCAACTCATTTTTCTCAAATTCAAGGAAAACGATTTCCCTTCTAAACTTAGGGAAAACATTTTCCAAAAGTTTCCTCCAACTTCAAATTACAATTTTTTTGTTGAAAAAATAAATTTAAAGCTTATTTTTAAAAACCATTTCTCAACTTCAATTTTTTATTTTTTCACCCCCACCCCTACCCCTGACCCCCCCCCCCCCCCAAAAAAAAAATTAAAGTTTGTTTTTAAAAAATATTTTAAATTTCAAATATTTATTTTTTTACCCCATCTCACCCCTAACCCCACCTCCAGCCCCGCCAGCCCCACCCCCCACCCCCCACCCCTCAAAAAAAATTTAAGTTTATTTTTAACAAATATTTTCAATTTCAACTCAAAAATAATTTTCTACTCTCTAGTAAAAAAAAAAAAGAGATATTTTCTCAAAAATAATTTTCATTCATAAATCAAACACTAGAAAATCTTTTCTGAAAAATATTTTCTACTCACCAACCAAACATGAGAAAATAAGTTAAAAATCTACTTGTTTTCCAGAAAAACATTCTCTAGGAAACATGAAAAACATTTTCCTTCATACCAAACACACCCTTAGTGTTAGTCTAAGTTAAGACAGAATAGAATACGATAAAATAAGTAATCAAGACTTCTGAAGCCCAAAATCCCTGCTATTTCAATTTTTTTTGGGATTGCTGCTGCCATATCCATTTTGGGCCTGGCCCATTTTCGCCCTATGTATATCAGCATCTGGCATGTATATGAACCTGCATTTCAGCATTGCTTTCTCAAGATAACCAAGGCCGACTCGAAGAAGCTGTTGGGCAACAAGAAAATGCAGGGAGTCGTGAGTCCAAAAGGGGCTCGGATAGAGTTTCACATGCAAATAAAGAGTAATAAGATTAGCATTCACACTTAAGACTATTTCACAAGAATAACACCTTTAGTAAAAATACAATAAATAAGACAAATCTATTATTTAATCCAGAAAGTATACATCCTAATGAAAATATTACTCCATTATATTATGAAAGCTAAAAATATCAAACTCACCCTAGTTTCGTGCAGACGTATATATAATCGATTAGTTCTAGCTAGTGAAAAATGGGTGTGCAGATTTAATAATTTTTCATCATCTGTTTTAGTTATTTTTCAAAAAAAAATCCATGTTAGTAAGGTACAGTATTATATATCATGAGATTAACACAAAGATAAAAAGTTTATCCTTCCCAAAAGGAGGGTTAAGAGACTAAAATTTACAAACTAATTAACCCTCCAAATATAAAACTATTCGATATTTTTAGATAACAGAAAAGTTTGTAAAATGTTTTTTTTAGACGTTTGAAAATGCCTTTAGGACGTGCCAAAGGGCTATATATGAGGATTTTGAGGTTATGCAATAGAGAAAATCACGAGTTAAATTATATTTAGAGATTTAATAATTATGTTGGAATGTGTATGTAGGCAACACGTTGTATGTCTGTTCATTCAATGCATGTTTATAAGACGATAAAAGATAGAAACAAATTAAAATAGAGCAAATTGGTCGGATACCTTTTGAGTTCTAATATATGCATCTAAGTAGCTAGATTACTGTTTTTTTTTTTATAGGGTTAGTGAATAGTGATGGTTCAGGAAGAGAACTTATGTTGCCATAAATGAAATACATAACACTATCTTCGATGCCAACTTGTCAATGTTGTAATATTTTAGGTGCTTGATGATCGTTATCAACATGACTCTCATGGAGACTGAAGAATATATAATTGATGATATATATTCAACCCAAAATGCATTAAAGAATGTTATTGCTCTAGAGAAAGTAATGGAATAGTTGATGCTCTTGCGAAGCATGCCAACACCCGTCAAGAAGATAAAAAATTCCTACATGAAGATATAGATCTAAGACCTTCCTAAGGAAGCTATTGGCCGGCCCTCTTAGAATGGATAAGATGCAACTTCCGTCCTTTCAAAGACGAGCATAAAAAACACTCTTCTTTGTTCCATCTCTTGTTGGAATTATGACCTCTTTAATTCTGTAAAGGAACACATACTAAATACTTGTTCTTCACTGTTTGCAAGTTGTAGTAAATAATTTCGTAAAATAACAATTAGTTCACAACTTTGTATTATTTATCTCAACTCCAAACAACACAATGATTACACAAATATGTAATCTACGGAATTATAAACTCTAATTCCTAACTACCCAAGACAAAAAAACCCAGGTTTTGGTCTTCTAATGTCTTTCAAGTTTCTCAAACTTGCTAGACGTATCCTACACTCAAACCTCGATTGTAATAAAAAACTCTTAACTACAATCTTACAATTTTCTCTCAAACTCGCAGCACTCCCCAAAGTAAGGTACAAAACTCTCTCAACCTCTTTGATCGTGTTTTGATTTTCTTTCTATGTGAGTGCGCAATTTTTTCTGATGAAAATATTCCCCCATTTATAGACCAGCGCCTCTCAAAACCTTGTTCAACTCGGACTCTACTTCATGCCTCTTTTGTGTAGTTTCCTTCTTTGACTTGGCTTTGATTTATTTCCTTCTTGAATCTTTATTCACGTGGTTTTCCTACTTTGTGTATGCTTCCTAATAAATTACAAAGCTCTACTCAATTTCGGAATCCTTCTTCCAGTAGGACTGGTTAAACTCAGATCACGTTTGCACAACTTGTTCCATGATGCAACTTTTGTCAGTCTTCAAAATATGTATTCATGTGTACCTAACAAATTCCCCATTTTTGATGATGACAAATATTTTGCATTCTGAACAAAATCATATTTTGCAATTCCAGCAATTACTTCCCCCTTTTGACATCATAAAACGTGGTCTACAGAATATAACATAACCAACACTCTGTAAAGAAGAAAAACACTATCATATAAACACAAAAACTTAGTTAGCTATAATACTGTTCACATTTTAGAACCAGAAAGTAAAGAGAAGCGAAACCAAGCATCCACAAAAAAGAAATATAGTCATCAGTGAGATAAGTACATCACTTGAGGTAAACAAAACAAACTTAGAAGCACACCACAAAAGCTAAGAGTCAAGGATTTTCAGGTTTGTTTGGAGGAAGGGCCAGCCATGGAGGTATGATGTGTTCGCAGCATCTCAAAGATACCCTTTAGATAAGCTGAATTAGTCAAGTGTGCAGTCTCCAAAGTTGCGCTAGTCTGGAGCAACTCACTCTTTAATTTTTCATTCTCTGCAATTAGCTCAGCTTCTTTAGCCTTA